AGAGCCTTCTGCCCACATGTGACATACATGTAATCTTAGTGAGGCAGTGATGGACCCGGGAAGAAAACAGTATCTGCTGAGAAGCTCTAACGCAGAGTTCCCGCCTGTCCTGCAGCGTCCATGCGTGAATCTGTGACTGTTCGTGGACTTCCACTCTTCCCATGCAAAGTCAAGGAGACAGTGACGCCCTGGCTAGCCCCCGCCATGGAGGAGGGGAGGGGTGCTTGTGACTTATAGACTGAGAGAAAGCTCACGATTCCCATGGCTGATGGTTTGTGGAACGAGGCCAGGTAGGAAGAGAGAAGTAAAAGGAGGAACAAAAACGGAAAGGCGCAGTGTCCTTTTCTTTCAGACAGTAACAGATGCACCGAGGAGTCTGAAAGGTGGCCAGGAGCTGGTGTCCAGGGCCCAGCGGACACCACGGACCCCTGAGCCTCAGCAGAAGCACAAATCTCAGTTCCGTGTCTGTAATAGACTCCTGCACTGGATATGTCGTTTCCTTCCCTGCAAACAGTGCCTCTGCTAAATCTACTATCCTCGGACTTATGGAACGCTTTACCCTTTGGCATGGTGTCCCACCCAGTTTGCCCCTGGTCAAGGAATGTGTTTCGTAGCAGATGAAGGGCAGCAGTGAGCCCAGGATGGTAGAATTCATGGTCGTACCATGTTTCCCACCATCCAAAGCAACTGGCTTGTGAGAACAACGAAATGGCCTTTTGACGACTCCGTTACAGAGCTGGCTGGGTGGCAGTCACTTGCAGGCAAAATGTGTCCTGGGACAACGTTCTTCAGGAGACTGAGTATGCTCTGAATCAATGCGCACGTATGTGATGCTCTTTCTCCCACAGTCAGGATTCACGGGTCCGGGCAGCTAGCGCTAGACGTGGAGGGACACCCGCGTCACCCTAGTGATGTCACTAGGAAAACTTTGCTCCTTGTTTCTGTGACCTCACGCCCCGCAGATCTAGAGATCCTCGTTCAAAGGGAAGAATGCTACCACCAGGAGACATACTGTGATTCCATTAAAGTGGAACTGAAGACGGCTGCTCGGCCGCCTTGGGCTCCTCATGCCTTTGAGTAAACACACAAAATGAGAGGTAAGGTGTTTAACGATCCTGACTACGCGGAAAGATGAGGCAGTTGATCCGCCGTGGAGGAAATGGCGGGCACGTCCGCAGTACGAGAGATTCCTTAGAACCACCCGGCCCTGGGATGAAAGTCTGTGAAAACGACAACCGCCCAATCCTACACTAGAACTAGACTAGAACTGACTGAGAAACATACCTGGGAGGTTTAACTATTTCACTTTGTTTGTACTTACTTAGCTTTGAAGTTTGGAATAATCATTAGCTTTCTAAGTCCCTCTAGCTGAAGTTAGTGAAGATTAATTGAAATGAAGCATCTTAAGATGTTTTCAAAGTGCACATGGCTCAAGAAGCACAAAGAAATTTGAGTTTCATTTGTACTAGGGTCATGCAGGGCAACAACATATTATGTGGGGAGATTGGAGCTGCAGACAGAGGACAAAATTCCTGGGAGTTAACCAAAATTCCAAGGACAAGTCCAGATTTTTAAAAGCTATGAAACTGATGGAGCCCAACTGGAGATCCCAAGGGGAACAGGTATTCTCTGAGCTCCACGCAGGATGAAAGGCATATTGACAAAGATCTGTCTCTAGCAGGGTGAGCGGGTAGGAGTGCCAGGCCTGGGAGGGTGAAGGGATGACAGAGCTACAGGGCTGGTGCTGGAGAGGGGATGTGGTCCAGCTACCTGTGTCCCTTACCTGCCCTCAAGGGCCCTTTGTGACCAGACCACAGCTCTGTGATGTGGGCGTGAGGCTTGTGTCTGCACATACACACCCAGGGCTCAGTTGCCTGAGGGCAGCAGTGCGATGGACACTGACTCTGGGCTCAGTTGCCTGAGGGCAGCAGTACAATGGGACTAATGCTTTTCAGAGGAAAGAGATGGAGAATTATCTCTTCCCTCAGGAATTCCTTACTGATGGTTGGCTGAGCTCCAGTCCCACTATCTGGGCAGTTAATGCCACCCTTGCCTTCGTATGGGGACTGGGACTCCTCTTCCTCTTACTTTCATATTTCCAGCCTGATCCATCCTCACCACCGGGCAAGAAACACAGGAAGAGCAGGAAGGTAAGGAACCCTTGGCCCAGACCCAGCAGAGTGTGATTCTATCTTCTTTTCTATTCTTTCCACTTTTCCGAGTAACTGGAGACTCCTGAGATGGGAACGGATAGAATTGTCAGGAGAGGGTAGAGCACCGTCCATCCAGGACAAGCCAGGCCAGGCAGGGGTTAGAGGGACATGAGGATTTCTCCCCGAAGATCTCGGGCCGGAGTCCAGGTGTGGTGGAGGGGTGCAGGACAGCATCCCAAACACAGTGACTGGTGGCCGAGGACCGGAGGTTAAGAACTGCCTCTCTAGCAGAGGTCAGGGCCCTGAGCACCCGGTCACCTGCTGCTGGGGCGGGGGTCCCAGCCTCCCTCTGCTTTCTTATCTCAGTACCAAGCGGAGCCATGGAGAAGGAGCAAGAGGGGAAGGAGCAAGAAAAACCAGACTCTGAAAGGTGAGCGTCTGCCACTCACCCCTGTCCCCCCGCTCTGAGGGCCCAGCCCCACTACTGTCCCCAGGATACCAGGGCCTGAGCCCATCCCTCCGGAAACAGAGCCCTGGGTGGGGGGTTGGGGGATCCGAGGAGGGAGAGCGGAACCCAAGCCTTCCCAGATTCTGTGGCAGAACAAAGCCCTGAGGGGCTGGAAACCAGTATTGCTCAGCAGGGGCCCAGGGCCTGGACTGGGGGCGGGACCTCCCGCTCCCACTGTGGACAAGCTGTTCAACTCCACTCAGATTCTTCTGTGAGGCCACATGGTCCTTCCTCCCCAAACACGGTCATGAACGAGGAAGCACTTTGGAAAAGACAAAGCGATCCCCATCATGAACCCTGTAATCACCGTGCGGGCACGTGGCCTTGGACAGTGCTGTTTGGGGCTTCCAAGTCCAATCCCCCAAAGGTCTCCCCTAAAGGGACATTGTACCCAGCCTCCTGTAAGACCCCTGTGCCTCGCCTTCCTCTGTGACCCAGTCTCCTGTTTCCAGTTTTCAGAGATTGCCTACAGGATCTGGAAGAGGTTCAGGACCTGTNAGTTTTCAGAGATTGCCTACAGGATCTGGAAGAGGTTCAGGACCTGTTCTCCCTTCTGCAAAGGTAAAGAATCTGCCCCCTTCTCCCCTGGGTGGGCCTCCCTGAGTCTGTGGTGTGACCCAGGCACTGCAAGAAACAGCCTCTGGGGCTGTTCGGGGGGGGCTGGGAGGAACCAAGGGGACAGACTGTGACCAAAGCCCCAGGCTGAGGGATAGCAGAAGCATTGTGACATGGGTGTGGGGCGTGGAGGGCCGTGGGGACAGACTGACCAGAGCCCCGGGCTGAGGGATAATAGGAGCATAGTGACGGTGTGGGGCGTGGAGGGCCGTGGGGGCAGACTGACCAGAGCCCCGGGCTGAGGGATAGAAGGAGCATAGTGACGTGGGTGTGGGGCGTGGAGGGCCGTGGGGACGCTCCTGGCCCCAGCTGCTGCGGCAGCAGCTCACGCCTCCTGTCTCCCACAGCCGCCTGGCGAGGCTTTCTGACCAGGGCGGCTTTCACCAGTTCTTCCGTCAAGCAGCCCCTGGGCCGGTGCGCCGAGGGGCGCCAGCTGGAGCCCGTCAGCCATGCAGGGAGCCTGTGGAAGACGCTGCTCCCGCCGTGGCCCCATCACCTGCCCACGCTCCGCTGACGGGCCCCCCTCGGCCTCTGGCCTCCACCCTGCCATCAGGACCAATGACCTCCTCAATTTCTGTCAGTTCACACTCCTCCCTGAGTACTTACTGGCCAGCAGAGCCTTTCCTCCCCCCGGATGGCTTTTCACACCAGCCCCTTGCTCTTCCCCCTTCCCCGCCATGTCTCCCTCTTTCCGAGGCCTCCCCTAGGCCTCTGACAGCCTCCTTGGCCCCAGAGCGGCCGGACTCTCCTTTGACTCTCCGTCAGTGTGACTCAAGGGCACCCCCGCCGTGCCCCATCCCACAGAGCTCTGCTCCGCACACGCCCTGGTCAGCTGACAGGTCAGCTTCTCCTGTCCCAGCCATCTCGGGCCTGGGCCGCTCACGCTCCCCCATTTCGGCCCTGTCCTGGTGGCAGGCGCCCGCCAATGCCTGGAACCTGTCCACCTCAGCACGCTTGGAGTCCCATCAGGCGCCTCTGTCCCACGGCCCACTAGAGGCCTTGTTCTGGGGAGACCCCACACACAGACAGGGAGAGACCAGGATCCCCCCTTCCATCAACCCGGACATCCAGAAGCTTCTGGAGATACTCACCACCAAGAGAACAGAACTGAAGTTTTGGAAGGAGAAGGAAAAGTCAAAATACCAGCTGACGTCTTTCGGGAGAATGCTCAAGTCCCCAGCTGACGGGCAGGACACCATGGGCTGCCCACCCTTCTGGAGCATGAGGGGCAGAGCGAAACAGCTGCTCGGTCCTGAGAAGCCCCCACATCCCAAGATTCCAGGGGACAATTTGGAGCAGAAATGCAGCCAGCTCTTCTGGGGTCTCCCCTTTCTGCACAGCGAGTCCCTGGTGGCCACTGTCAGGGTGACCGATCCACCACTGGAGCTCCCGTCTGTCATATTCAATGAGCTCTCTCATGCCTTGCCGCTCCAGATTCAGGCCAGCCTGGCTCCATGCCTCTCCCTGACCCAGGACTTACAGGACCCTTCAGCCCCGCCCCAACCCTTGACCCTGAGCTTGTCCCAGCCCCAGCCCCTCCCTCTGGATCAGACCCAGCCCCTCCCTCTGGATCGGACCCTGCCCCAGCCCCTCCCTCTGGGTCAGACCGAGTCCCAGCCCCTCCCTCTGGATCAGCACCTGCCCCGGCCCCTCCCTCTGGATCAGACCCAGCCCCGGCCCCTCCTTCTGACTCAGCCCCAGCCCCTCCCTCTGGATCAGACCCTGCCCCAGCCACTTCCTCTGGATCAGACCCAGCCCCTCCCTCTGACTCAGCCCCAGCCCCTGTCTCTGGACCAGCCCCTGCCCCAGCCCCTCCCTCTGGACCAGCCCCAGCTCCTGCCTGGAGCGCAGACCCAGCCCCAGGCAAGCCGTGCACCCTCTGTCCCAGTTGGACTGCCTTCTCTGCCACCTGATATGGAGAGCTGCAAGGTGTCTTGCTCTGTAGCCCAAAAGACACCATCTTATGTGTCAACTGCCCTTCAGAACCTGGAATGTCACTTTCTGAAGAAGCAACTAGAAAGAGACAAGGTACCCACTGTGGTGAAAAGATCTCAGGAAGTTTTTAGCCAAGGTCCTCCCGACCTTCCACAGGATGGCCAGGCCCCCGAGGGCCATGGGTCAGACTCTGTCCTTCCTGGGGACTTGGTCAACTCTGAGCTCCGGGAGCAACTGGAGTGGCACCTTTGGAAGAGGCTCATGAAGCAAGAAAGGGGCCCGCCCCGCAGGATCCAGCTATCCCTGAAGATACAGCCTCAACAAGAGTTCCAGAAGGTGCCCCAGGCACGCAGCTGGCACAGCCCCACGTCGGAGTCTGAGTCTACGGATGGAAGTTGCCAGGCCATGCAGAAGACTGGGTCCAGGTACCCAGGAAGGACCGTGCCAGGAAAAAGCCTGGGCAAGGATTCAAGGTCCAGTGCAGGGAGGATCCAGAAAGATCTACAGAGGGGTGCGACGAGCTCTCCAGGGAAGGTTCCAGGAAGAAATCGTAAGGAGTCAGAAACAGACTTGAAGCCCTCTACAAGCAGCGCCGAAGAGAAACACCCAGCAAAAGACCTGAGAGCCCATTTCAGGAAGTTGGGGCAGTCCGGAGAGGGTCAGGTTCCTTCCAGGCTCGCTGCCCACCACGCCTCGGACCTTCCTGGAAAGCCAAGCCCTCACGGAAAACCTGGAAAGCCAGCACTTTCCAAGTGTTGGGAACCCTGCATGACCACCTCCCACGATTTTTCGATCCTCAGTCCGTATGCTCAGCAGATGCTAGAAGCACATATCATAAGGCTTAGGGTGAAGCACCGGTGGGGCCTCCCCCTCAAGGTTCTCAAGCCTATAAACCTCTTCAAGTTGAAGAAGGGCTTCCTCCTCTCCCGGCCCTCCCTTCCCCGCTCAGCCACCTGCATATCCAAGGCCAGCTCGAGCACCAAGTTCATGGGAAATCCTCCTCAGCCTTATCAAGGAGAGGTGATGAAAGAGTCTTATCCCACCTGGGGGGGTCCCTTCGGTGCTCCCCAGCCTACATGTGAGGAAATTCAACAGGCTCTGGAAGGGACCTCACCTAAGGGTGGCCCTCCGGCTGGACAGGGGACCAGGCCACCTTCTCGGACCTTCACATACAGCTTTGTGGGCAGAATCTGGCACAGTGAGACTGCCTCGAAGACTCTTATGAATAGGACCTTGGAGTCAAGTCCAAGTCCAGTAACAGCCACGAAGGAGCCAAGGAGGGCGAATGGGGGTTGGGCCTCACGGGACGTGACCGTGCTAGAGCTCAGCTTAGAGCCCCAGGATTTGAGTGTCAAAGAGCCCGGGGAGGTCGAGGAGGCCCCTGCCTGGGGAGTCACCTTAGAACCCCGTGTGCTGGCCAACAACCAAGGCCTCCGTGGCGAGCTGAGATCAGGGTCTTCAGGGAAAAGCGACAGCCCCCCGCCACCTACAAAGTTGGTCACCCGAGACCCCGAAGAGCTATGCCTTGAGGCTTGGCGCAGGGGGTCGGAATCCCGGAAGTTGATGGAGACAGAGAACCGGCCTCGGGCTGCCAGCCCCACCGTGCTCCTTCAAGACTGTGAGACTGGGGTCCTCCTTCAAGACTGTGCCACTGAGCGTCTCCTTCAAGACTGTCAGTCCAACGTGTTCCTCACTGCCGACGTCTTGGCTTCTCAGGGATGTCTGTCTGGCTTCCAGAGCGGGTCCAGCGAAGACACATCTACTTCCCAGGTGCCACGTGGCCCAAGATCCCGTGGCCAGAGCCCCCACAGGCAGCCGGGACCCCCGGGACTGCGACACCAATGGAAGAGCCTGAGCAGGTCATGTGTCCCCCCCGAGGAGAGAGAGAGCTCCAGGAGGTCCCCCTCAAGAGAGCCTGACAAACAGTCGTCCGAACTGAAGCTCCTCCAGATCAGTGAGGTGACACGCCCCGTCCAGAGCCAGGAGTCAGCAGAGGCCTCGGGAAGCAAGGCCTGTGAGATCTCGCTGAAGAAGGAGGCGGCGCCTCCGGAAAATTACTTCAGGAGAAGGATGAAGCACCTGCTCCAGTGGTTCCTTCCCAGTAGAGGCAAAGGACTGGAAGATTCCCTTCAAAAGGGCAAGTCTTCCTCATCCCAGGGCCGGGGACAAGCCACGGGTAGGTCGGCCATGGACAGCACTTCTGCCGAGGCTCAGGTGGTCGTGACTGCTGTGGGGCAGATCCTAGAGGAGAAAATGGTGCCTCACCAGGGACTCCGGGCCCCGGAGTTCAGCTGGTGCCAAAAGGATCTCCAGGCTTCGGCAGACCCCAGTGTCTGCTACCACAGGGTCCTCTCCTACCAAGAGCAGAGGAGGGTGATGAGGGAGACAGCCAGGCCACAGGGCACCCCCAGGGGCCACAGCTATGCCAACAAGACCGAGTGGATCGCGTGGCCCTTCCCAGCCCAGGTGCCAGGGGGCCCAGGCAGACCCTGCCAGTGCGGATCCCTGGTACCAGGCCCTCCACGCCGCACCCTGCAGCTGCACTGCCCCAGGCACTGCCTCCTTCAAAGATACATCGCACCCGGCCAGCCGCTGGCCAGCCACGCCTTTCCTGGGAGGACAACTTTCCTCCAAGAAAAAACGCAAACGGTGCAGAGAAAAACTTTTTTTTCTCACATTAGCACATCCTCTATGGGCTAATGGCTTCTCTGTGCCACAATTACTTTGCTTCCCCAAAATACATGTTCTTTTTCTCGTGAGTGGTGCTGGCCTCTGTGTGTGCCCTGCTGCGGGGGTGGGAAGGATCAGGGTCCGCTCTCCCCGAGGGCCTGCTTTGGCTTCCAGAACGAATGGGGCCTTGGAGGACGGGTGACCGCGGGGTCCACCCCCGCCTCCTTCCTCGTCTCCTTCGGGGTTTCCACGACAAGGTGAACAAGACCCAGACCGGGACCTCACTCTGCCCATCCTCCTGCTTTCCCTCACCTGGAGCTGTGTGGCTGGAGGGAGGGTCTGCCGAGGCCGAAATCCCGCTCAGGCTCCAGGAAGACGGAGTCCTAGGTCACAGTGGGGCCCGCAGTTGGGAGACACAAGGCTGGCCCTGAGGCAGAGGTGAGAAATCCTGCCCCCCCC